GTGGTGGTGGTGGTCCTGACACCAGGACATCCTCTTAAAAACACTTCCTCATGTAAAGAGGAAGACAAGGCATAGAGACAGGTCTACAATGGCAAAAAAGACTTGTGCTAGCTCTGTTCACAATTCATATCTCCAATTAAATCTTTGTGTAAAAGATGTGGCCATTGTGCGAAAATCTAATGGCAGCAGCAGGAGGGAACCAATGCTAGGATGTGACCCAAAGCTACAGTTACAGCTAGTCATCTCCTTTCATGCAGGGACTACAGACAAAAAGTACAAGATAGGAGAAAAATTGCTGACAAGACATGCTAGACACAATTCTGTAATCTTACACAGAAGAAAAAAAAGAATGCAAAAATTACTCAGAGGGAATCATGAAGTCACTGGAGGGATCTGAAGGTAAGGCACAGGAAAGTTCAGAGCAGCACAGCAGAGTATGATGGTGGCTGCAATGTCCTTGAACCAGTTAAGAATACAAAGGAAGAAAAATAGAAAAGGAAGAAAAGCAGGAGGTTGTAGTATCTGGCCAAAGCATGAACTAGGTTTCATCCACTTTTGTTAAAAATCCGCATTTCCTGAGAACAGTCAGGTAACCTAAAAAAACACTCATGGCCACTGCTGGAACAGAAAGTCAAGTCAACACATACATGTTGAACTATTGAAATCTGAGGATGAATTTGTCCTTCTGCATATCAAAGGCAGATAATGGAGTTTCTACCTTTAAAAAGTATTGAGATTCAGGCTATTTGCTGATTTCACTGAGCATTAGTATGCCAAAATTTCATGGTTTGTACAAATAACTTCCAGTTTGGAAGAGATTGACCCTCAATGGTCATGACTGACATTAAAAAACTTAGACTATTTTTAAACTAATATAATATTCACAGCTCTAAACTGAGAACACTATCTCCATTGTACAAAGTCATGACAAAATAATTGATCATTCTAAGAAGCATTCACAGTCTACCTTCACATATAGGTCAATATATTGTTTGGAATGACAAACTGGCTAATATCTGCCACAATATTCTGTTCAATAAAAACTGTAACTACAGTAAAGCTGATGTAAGAAAGCTATTTTTCACACACACATACATTTGCTTAATGCCCCTAATGTTTGCCATTACACAATCCAGCAAAAGATATTATAAAATTGTTATATACTGTAGTGAGGCCTAAAAGTGAAGAGTTAATACAGCAACAGTATGGCTGAAAAAAAAAATAAAAATCCAACAGATGCTAAAGCCTTAGGGGATATTTGGATCAGAATCCAGAGCATTTGGACAAAACAGCGAAAAAATCAGAACACCTCATGGCACCAACAAAAAGAAAAAACATAATAATCCTCAATGTCAGGGAAATTAAGACCTTAGTATTCACTAATAAAAAAAAAATCCTTAAAACCATCAAGTTGGAAATAAAAATCTTTGTTATAAACATTTTCAAAAAGGTAGAGGTACTTACTAGGTAGCTTTAGCACTGCCTTGTACAGTTACGTTCAGGATAGGTATCCAAGTGCCTCTATATTCAAAGGCAGGTAATACAGTTGCACCCCCTCCCATTCCAAGCACTCCTGGATTGGTTTGTGCTGAGCCAGTATTCCCCGATGCATTGCTTCCTTTTCAGAAAAACAAAATGATAAAATTAACCAATCTAATTTTAGCGATCAGCAAACATCCTTTTTCTATATTTAAGTTGAGATACATGGATTAATCTGAGACTCTCTGCCTGATAATAAAAACCACCACCAACACAAAAAACCTTATTTTTGAGCTCCCTCTACTGTCTAAAACACGATCTTATGTGCAAAGTAAATAAAAGGCGCAGCTGATTAATGACAACTGCCTTATTTTAAATCAGAATAAAAGGTTTCTATGAAAGGTATAGCATTCAAAACATTCTGTGAACAAAGTAAACTTACATAGTCTGATAAAACGACACATTTTTGTGAAGAGTCAGACAGATACTGAAAGTTAAGGATTATTTGAATAGTTGCATCTAGAACTGAGTAGTGGGGAAGAGAGGTTAATCATTCCAAGAACAAAGTTCATCACAAACTTTAAAGACTTCAGAAATGCAAAAGCCACAAGAAACACAAAGAGAACTGCAACATTTGAATATGCTCCATGCCAAGGTAGAAGAAAACAAGCCACAGGGAAGAGCTGACAATGGGCCAACCAACAGCTAGGAAGGAGCAAATTCTGTTTCCAATTTAAGAAGCCAAAAAAAGCAGATAAAAGGACATGGAATTCTGTATAGATACACTTCCTACATATACAAGGAGGTCTTTACTTACTAGGAGTAGGTATCAAAAGTTCAGCCTCCCTCTGTACAATGGGGAGAGAAGGACTGAGTCCCCAAGAAGGCAACTCACAGCACTTAATACATCAGTGTAACGACTGCCATTTTGGTGTGCTCGCTTTTAATTTGTAGAGAGATCAAACTACTGATTTAGGCAATATGAATACACACAGAAGCCTTTGTATACACTTTAACACAGTAAAGCTTAACAGACTGAAACAACAAAATCATACTGCTAAAGGCAAATGGTTAACCAAACGCTGCCACTAACACAGTTAGACAGGCATCAATTTCTGTGATCCCACTGAGCAGACATATACAACTGTTTTCACATCAACACAACTCCTAGAAGTCGTAAAAAGGCTTACATTACACCAATGTAATAAAAGTGACCTAAAACTTAGGTAGATGCAGCTTTCCACTTCTCCTACGAAACAGCTACTTTCTTGCAAAACTGAGGCTCAAAAGCCAACTACACACGTATAAAGTAGTCTGCTACTACAGGACTACCATTACAATTAGAAGATTCATTTCAAAAACTACATTGCATTGACCTGCTCTTTGCATGTTAAACATCGCCGTAGGAGGAAAAGAGGTCGAAAGAGAAATGCATGAGAAAGAGACATTAGTAAAACTCAGGCAGCAAGAAGTGAAAAGGTAAAGGAGAAAACAAACTGAAACAATAAGCCAGCGAAATAGTGACAGCACTAAGGGTATGAGCCTACTGCAGTGTTATTTCACATTAAGGCAAAATTTAAGTTTTCAGGAGAATGAGTCTTCCCCACAACACAGGTAGATAAAGTAATCTGTTGTACCAGCCCTGAAAACACAATTTTGTCCCAAGCTAGCTTTTCACCTCAGTGAACACGGAAGTACAGAACTGTTCCAAGCAAAATATATATACTGAATCAAATCAGAATTTATTATTACAAGAAAATGCTGGAAAATTAAAATGATAGTAAGGCTTTACCAGTTTGGTTTGGTGTTGCTGATGTGCTCCCTGTGGTTGGTACAAGAAATAGCGACTGGATGAAAGACCCCAGTGCATTCACAATATCACGGAAAACTTTAGTGGAATGTTGCTTCATATCATATGATTGACAAAAGGACCTGGAAAGTATTTCATAAAATATAATAAGTATTTGACAAAATATGCTTTTAGTCCCTAGTTTAACAGCAACTTCCCTTCCTGCCCTCCAAACTGTAGACTAAAGGCACATTTTAACTGCAAATGTTTAGGTGAATAATAAACTTTAGTTCTGGGTAAATTGTCTTTTAACAGTGGTAAGACAGCAAGTGTTTGGAATACTCAAATAACTATAATTCAGTCCCTTCCTGGATAATAAGCATTGCCTAATGCTTTATAAAAAGCTATCTTGAAGAGTTTATTGCATTTAAATTTCTATATATTTATAATGTTTAGGAAGCATTTTCCACCAAAGAAAAATAAAAAGAGTTCTTAAATTTTTACATAAAGTGAAACTCAATATATTTAATACCTTAATAGCTGAGGCTGCACACAAAGCCTGTGAATCGATTCTACTGCAACAGCTCTTAGCCACTGTGGTTTGTCTGCATCCAGGAACTTAACCAGCAATGATAGAAAGATTTCACATTCTGTTACCTGAAAGATACAGTTCATAGCCATTAAACTAAAAAGGAAAAAACTCCTACAAAATATTTTCTCACAAAAACTTGTTTCATCTTAGGAGTCACAGAAAGTTTTGCACAGGACTTTAGAAAGCCCTTCAATAAGCATTTACTCAAAATTATATAAAAATCATACCTAATAATAATATTTTTTGCCAAGCCAACACCAAATATGCAATTGTACTGAAGAAGTTAAATTCCTCACATACATTGCAGTAAAGTTTTCACATGTGCTACAGTAAACAAATGAAACAGAAAAAAATCTTTTTTAGCAAATGTCTAAAATTCAGGAGGCAGGAACAGCTGAACATGTGTTTTTATGCACATTCTGTCAACAGCTTTAGCAACACGTCAAACGCCTCTTTAGCAATTATTAACAAGGCATGCCAACCAACATCATCTAAAGCCAAGCAAACAACATAAGATCAAGTTTCTCAAAACCTTAACTGAAAGGCAGTCAAGTACAGAAAAGACAACAGCTAATCTACTCTGAGAATTTACACAAGCCCACATTTCATAAAATCATACATATAGAATAAATGTAAACACAAATACACATACTAGGAAAATAATATTTAGACTCTTCTTCCCTCAGTGTACATCCCAGTTCCCAAGAACTAATTAATACAATTACTGATCATACTACTGGCATATACATAGAAAACCAGAATTGCATAAAGACAATTTGAACATACTCTTACCAGCAAACTGTAAAACTGCTTAATCAAAACAGAAACTACTCTCAGCAAACGCATACAGATAGGGAAGTATGGTTTTTCCACTGGTGCTGGGGAAGATGATGTGCTGGAACCTTGCCTGAATTTGATATTTGGAGAGAAGAGCTTTATAACAAGAGGGCATACCCTTTCTTTAAGAAGAAAACTGAATTCCTGATGCTGAAAAAGAAAACAGAACAAACTATGAGAAGCTATTCTTTAATTGCTACCAGTAATTCTGATTATGCATCTTATTTACACTTACTGTTATGATCAAGCACTCTGACGTCATGTAAATCTTCGTATAAATTATACGCTCAACAAACGAAAAGGAAGAACCGCAGACACCATTGTAAAGCTACCAAAAAACTTTATGAAATGACACGGTCGGGTTCTTACCATGCACCCCTCTTCTTGAATTTTGCAAATTGAAATAGGCTGTTAATACATGTTACCATGTATTTAATTTTTAAATTTAAATACTCTCTGCCAAAATGTGTTACTGGAGGATCATTCTGCATTTATATGCAGTAGATCCACACAATTCATAATCAGGATTCCTGCTGCTTTGCAGGCAGGATGAAGTTACAGTTTTTGTAGAAATAACAATGCCACAAACTAAGTTTCAGGGCTGTCACAAACCATGCAAGATAAGAAAATGCATCTTTGGAGGAGACACAAGTGGCAAAACAAAAAGTGAGACAGTATAACATGCTCTACAAAATCCACAAACACAAATAAAGTGCATGAAAATAGAAAAAAGTGGATAAAAAGCCCACAGTACTTTTCTAACATAAAATCCCAACCTGTAAAAGCTACAAGTCCTCTTGAAAAGCAGTACTCACACTAAATTAAAGAGGACTTAATGAAGTGTAAATTTTCCTACACATGTGAAAGTCTTCCTATTTTCCTTCCAAGAACTACTCACTTGTAAAAACACTTGTGGAAAGTCATTGAGGACTGATTCAAGAAGTTCAAGGCCAAACGTTCGGGTCATTTCAGTCATACCCACGAGCCAGTAGGGAGCATCAGCATTAACTAACTGACAAAGATCCTTAAAAAGAAATACAATAACACCAGCATAAGTTTTCTTAGTCTACAACAAAATCTTTACTCTCTCCCTCCTTATGAGTAATTTTCCAATTTCAACATAATTTTTTCCCTCAAATACTTCTTTTACATAAATATTAGGCAAAAAACTTTTACAAAGAGATATTTCTTTGTAAAAGAAAATAGAACAAAACTTTTCTGGTATCCTTGTAGCAACTGTGTTCACTCTTGTCCTCAAAAATATCTCAAGACCAGTGAATTGCTAAGTCAAGAAGATTTTTATTTGTGTGATGAATACAACTATTACTTTTCATTATATACTCAACATTAATATACAGTATCAAGCACAAGAAGCAGGACTGAACTATAGTAGCAGTGTTTGACTCACAGAAAAAAAGAATCTTGAATTTAATGTGGACATGCATGCTTAGCTACTATTTAAGACGTATAGCAAAACATTTTCCTAGGCCATTTTGTCTTCATTTTCCAATTATCCTCCTGGGATACAGCATATCATTGCCAATTACAATAAATGCACATAAGAAAGACCGAGGCTCTGGCTAAGGACTTTGTCAATATGCCAACAGCAAATTTTTGAAATTTCTTAAAGAGATGTAGAAGCACCCAATTATAACTGCAAACACATTAATATATGCTTCCCATCTACCTGAAAAAGCATATATGCATCTTTAGCACATGGCTTCAGCGTACTGACAGATCTTCTGTTACTATTTCCTTGAACTGCAACTGGTTCGTCAATAGTATCTGTGTAAAAACAAAATTAAGTTTTGTGAACAAACGAGCTGCTGAAAAATCAAGTATGCATTAAGTGCTCTTACAAAAAGATTCTAGGTGAACGGCCAGGTAATTCTTCTGCAACTTATCATGTCTACAGAAATAAACATTAGCTAGAATGCCAAAGATGGTCAACACCAAGCACTTCTTTCCAATAAACTTTCTCTTCAAAACTACTACTGCCATGTATCTCACAATCAGTAATCTAAGTTACCTTCATCTTAAATGACACCCTCACCTCAAATTTCTTCACAATACAAACTGAAGACCAGTTCCCACAGCTTGAAAAAAATCTAGGTTTTGTATATTGTTGTACTGACTTGGCCTAGCATGACGGCTAAGGATTTAATTTACTTTGCATACAAGTAAAAGTATAAAAGACAGTAAAAATTAATAATGTCTGTGATTTTTTTAAATAACATTTACAGACTTTTTACTACTTCTTTATCTGAAAAAACCCCACATCAGAAATATGTCCAAAAAACAGGTTAATACAAGCAAGCAGATTAAGAAGCATGCCCACCTTTGTATCGTTCATCTTCAGCAACCACTCTCTCAAATACAACAGTAACTACCTGCCGCACTGTAGCTGCCGCAGTGTTATTTGTGATATTATCTTTTGTGAAGTGCAATCGAAAACAAAGCACAATTGCCTGAAAAGAAAGGAAAAAAAAAATCATCTTGCAACAAAATATTTTAATCTTTTTAGATAAGTGGGAAGACAGCTGATTGAAGAATGCTTTTGACTACAGTTTGTCAAAAGGCTGCCTGAAAAAAAAATTGTTCATCATTTTAAATCATTTTAAATTTGAAGAACCAGAATAAGTTTTGTGGATTACCCCAGTCAAAAACCTCTTTAGTAATCCTCCCCAAAGGTAATCTAGAAGTGGTATTAACCGAAGACATTATGATGTGCCAATACTACAATCATCATATAGAGAATACACAGTAATCAACCACATAAACCAACTTGTATGAATATTAATGTCAGAAGGACATTAGGATTATACAGTTAATCACAGAAAGGTCAGTCAACTCCAAAGTTAAATGCCATTTCTCTCCTTCATTAAACCACAACAGCTTCACAACCATGTTGCCTCAACTGCTATTATTCCTCTCCAAGGTGCATATTTTAACACGTCATTGTGCTGGCAGTGACCTGAATACTGTTTCCCACTGGATTTCTTATTACCTCTAACACATAATTTAATACTTATTTTAAAATTAATTTTGAAAATTAACACTTGTATGTGTAGGTAAACCTGTATTTCTTGTTCTTTTGTCCTTATTCTGTGTTCTTGCACTTGCATGAACCTCAACCATACCTGGCCATAGCACTACATGCTGTAAGCCATACGAGATTCAGAATTTTCTTTTGCTTCTTTTTCTTGTAAATAATTTGTGGACTCTGTTCAGATGGTATCCTCATGTTAGTTTGAAATTTTACAACACAATTATACACATCTGGGCTTTCAGAAGATACTGCATGATTCTCTAGATTAATCTAACAGCAGTGCCTGTATTAAGGGGCTTTTCAAGATGGTTTACCAGTAATTTTCTTAATTTAAATCAGTCAAGCTGAAATGTGAATATGCAATATATGTCTACTTCAAACTGATTTTCTCTAAGAACTTTTCAGTCTGAAAAATAAACAACTTTCAGATATTTCTCAAAAGAATCTTGGGGGCAAAAAACCAAATAAACCATTGCACCATTTTACCCATGCCAAGTCTTGTCTTTGGTTAAATGAGCAACTACAGTAATTTCAGACCTTGGACATTTGCTTTATTAGTGAGAGCTTACACTGCACTACGTGCCTGATGTCAGTTTGAAAACATACATACGAAAAATTTAACAGATGAGAAGGACAGGGATTATCCCACTGTTTTTATTTAAAGTTCCCATTAAGTCAGAAAACTATAATTGTGGAGGAATTAAAAAAAAAGATTGAAAAGGAAGTTAAAATAAACCTTGTTTTCAGAGTCTAGATATAAAAGCAATAGGGACACAACAGAATCAAGAAAGCCCCCGCCTCTTCCATTATTTCCAGATGTTTCATATGTAAAATTTCTCCCCGTTTTCCTCATGGATATCGTAAGTACTATAGCTGGCACTAAAAAATTCTTACCTTGGACAGCGCTTCATCATGCACAACTGTATTGGTTGTTAAAAGTACAAGAACTGTCTGAAGCAATTTAAGTTCTTCGAGACTATTTTCCATCAGTTGCCAAAGCATATTAATAATGTTTCCTGCTGCAGCCTACAAAGAAATAATTTTTTGCTAACAATTAAGATGATTACATACTGGTACATCATGTGTACACATATAAGAATAGCACTCTCATAAACACATATCATAACTGAATTTGCCTGTTTGGTCTATACCACAGGACTACATTCAGAACACAAAGCCAATTTCATTGTCACAAGCTTCCCAAAATATTTTTAAAGAATTGACAGCAGAAATCTCCTAATGTGCAGCCCAAACTAAAGTGTGTACGTAATTTTCTACTTGGAAATATAGGAGAGACAGTACAAAGACATTTCACCCTCAAAATTGATTCATATCAGAGAAAAAAGTGTGATTTTACACTATGCAAGCACAACTGAAGGTATATTTTAGCAGTAAGCTGGTGAAAAGCATAACGCACTATATATGCAGTACCATAATATATCACAGAATCATCATGACACTTACAGTTGCAGGAAATGTGCATCCATTTTATCTTATTTTTAAAGTAACACGTAATAAAAACGTAATACATGATGTTATCACACAGAGTAAATTTTGCGGATGCCACCCTAAGAATTATATTTATCAAGAACATGTTCTGTTCCTCCAGTGTAAGAATGCAAACTAAACGAGCTGGTTTGAATTTTCATTAATTTCCTTCTAGAAATTACTAATGTTTTCTCATATATTTTTTTCTTTTTTTTTTTAATGGTCAAAAAAGTTTTCTTTTAAATTACGATTATTTAAAACCAGGTATGAGTAAAATATCTTGTAGACTATGTTCATTATAACATAAACAGCCTCCTAAAGAAAAACATTCACCTTCAGTTTGAGGCCTGTATTTCTCACACTGAAATATTTATGTATTTATATAAAGATTGATCTTACCTCTGAAACAACTTCATGGGACATGAGCCTCTGTATGGCTGCTAGACACAGCTGAGTGATCTTTGGTTCCTTTGTTCCACAACCCATTAGAAAAGGCTGAACTACCTCTGAGCTGTTCTCCTTCAATGCTTTCAAAAAGAGATATGGAAGCAGTCAATGTTTAATACTTTGAAGAATACAATGCAAAATTTGTTAATGATACCTATTAACAAAAAGCAATCTCCAGTCTTGGAAATTTGGGATTTACTCTTGCACCACAGGGAAAAGCCAAGTAAAGACAGACACTGGGCTGCAACAGCTCACTTCCAAAATTACCCTGTGGCTGAGGCTCAAATCCCAAGCACCTTCTCTCTTACACACTCGAGCTACTTTCTCTTTCCGAAACCAAAATGGTCACTTAGGAATCCATTTGGTTAGTAAGAAGCTATAAGGTTCTGCCCATCCCAGAGCTTTCTCTGGCTTTGCAGCAGTGACCACCCTCAGGTTAGCAGCCTTCTCCTTCTGCTTTGCTTCCCCTTGGCACCAAATTCAAGAGCAACACAAAACATGCCACACAGAGACATATCAATGCATGCAGCACAAAGGGGAATAGCAAAATGCCACTGACAAAACAGGAGAAGAAATACTGTTTGTATCCTGGGTACGTACACCTGGCTGTGAATTTTTCAACCAGTGTTTTAGAGATAAAGGGCAGCTTACTAAAACAAAGCTTTGTCAGGTGGAAACAAAAGTTTCATGAACTACTTTTTTTTTTCCTTGGAGAAAAGAACTTCACAATGAATACAACATTCCACATTGACATTTTTAAAAATTTCCCCCATAAAAGTAATTCTAGAAATCAGAGATAAATTTCATAAAATTAAAAGAGAATAAAATATTTCTGAAAGATGACAGGAAAGCATGGCTCTGACTGCTGTGTGCTTTTCCGTTTGCAGGTACAGTTGTTGATTCACGCAAACTTAAGATTTAGCTGGCCATCAACCTTTCAGATATTAAAAATTTCTTCACATTTCAAAGTTCAATGTGTGTTCTTACACTGAATGTCATACATCATGTTTTAGTCTATGTGTAATAAGATTTCATGGAAAAATTTCACACACATACTTTCTACAAGGTAATAGTTCTACAGGGTGATAGTAACACATATATAGTCCATAGTTTCATCAGCCTCTTCAGAGACAGTACAGGCTCGATATCAAGTTGACAGAGGCTGACCTTGTATCAAATGCCTAATCAAAAACCATTAAAATGTCAGCATAAATGCAAATGAATACATAGGTTAACTGCCTTTTTAACAATCTGCTTTGATTTCAACAGGGTTTTTAACTATGAAGCAAATAAACTTGCTTTTTAAATATTTAATATAAACCACATCCACCAATACCATTCTCTTACAGAACACTCCATGATTTTCAAATTAAAAACAAAACATTGGCTACTTCATCAAAAACTAAAGTTTGTTCCCAATTGAGACACGTAATTTAGGCATCTAGTTGTCAGTGTCTACATGTGAGCTAGATGCCTAAGCTGCCTTTACAGTCTATGAAGACCTATAACACATGGCCAATAAACCCTAGAGAGTTCATACTAACATGGACACAAATGCTTCTTCACTCATTTAAATTTCTGAATTACCACTAAGTTCTAACCATCATGCAGAAAAAAGAAACAATCTTTTTAAAAACATACCACAAAATATTTATCCTTATCATAAGACTTACTATAAAGTTAGAAATGGCAAAAATGGCATGAGTTTTAATAACAAGATAAAGAAAAATTTAAACCTTTTACAATATTCTGGCTATAATCCATTAAAAATAATCTCACAACAGGATCTATGTGAGGATTTTTATTTTATAAAGCTGAAAAGATAATGTTTCGTAGACCTGGTTTGGTACCGATCATTACATTAGCTTCAGTCTTAAAACACACAAAAATCTTCTTACATCCAGGTCTGCTTCCATTTTGCTACCAAAATTATGCAAGAATATATTGAAAAAGAAATCTATCATAATAAACCACACAAAAAAAGCTTCGGGAAAGTATAAACTTACTCCTTCATTCCATCAAGAAGACTGCAATTTCAATTTTTTAAAACAACTTCTAAAACAGAAGTATGAATTGCGCATCTCAGAACCACATGGAAATAACTTCCCACATTTATCTCCTGCAAAATAAAGCACTAGCTGACCCGTTTTAGAATTACTGAAATCCTCATAAATAAATTATAAAGCATATACAGACTGCCGAGAATGAAGACTTTGCAACTGCTCAACTTCAACAGAAAGCAAGAACTTAGATCAATGACCTCAGAGCTCTGGCAAATTAAACACATCTCACCAGACATATTACCTCTCTGTATTTGTCACTTTAACATTGCATATATTTTCCTAATAATTACAATCCTACAGAGTGTAATGCTTCAAGAAAGCATCAGGTCGGCTTATTCAAAACAATCTGATACAGTTGTTATCTTCTATTTTAGTGAAATGAGTTTACATAAAAATATGAAGAAAAATCATGTCCTGATCGAAATATTTATTCGGATTCCTAGAACACGTACTAGATGTTCCTAAATCATCTAGCAGTCAAAAGTATCTACTTCACTAGATTTCACAACTACAGTACCTTTTGCAGCTTTATTATTACCAAAGAATACATACCATTTTCCTCAAAAAAAATTTAAATAGCAGATAGGAGACAACAGAGATCTTGACATTAACTTATCTACAAGATTAGGGTACAACTGATACCCCAAAAAATACAAGAGTCCATAAAGTACTGGGACTGCTTAATGGCATTATGTTTAAACTGGGGAACATTAGGATAATGTGCAGGCACAGTATATGTTCCCCTCCATCCTGCAGCTCCTTACTGGAAAAAAAGTTGTTATCCTATTAGGAAAGATTAACAAATCAAAACAACTTTTAGGACCTGCTGGTTTTCCAAGCCTCATAACAACAAATCTGCATACTTTTTAAAAATAATTAAATAAATATTAACCACATTCTAGTTTAAACCTGTCAAAGGAAAAGTACTTAAAAAATTTGACGAACTACCAGAAAGTGTTCCCTCAAAAAGATAAAAGACTGCCTATGCATGGCCAAAATCAATGATCTTTCACATCTGTTCACTTTGAAATGAAGATTACAAAACAAAGAATTTTGCAGGACTACAAAATATCTTTCTAAAATATGAAGTTCTTTACACAGTAATATGCCAAATAATACTGACAGCTTCTCAAATGGCTAACTGAAGATTTCTCCTGTTCGTTTGTGTATTTTGATATAGCTGACATTACCTGGCATAGTTTTCCCACTTATGTCAGCGCTCATGACAGCAGTAAAAACAAAGAAAATAAGCAAATAAAAAAGAGGCATTAAAGTAAAATACTGAGGGGTGGCACTGCTACTTCAAATTAATCTAGAAATTGCCTCCTTACCAATATCTGGTTTACATACCTCAAAACAATACAAAGTTGTACATCTATTTCATTTCGACCTTTCAGACAATTTAGCCTTTTAAGGATTCTGACTACAGCTGGGGTAGAAACTCAAGTATTAATACAGAAACATTCAAATCTGGCCAAAGGTTTCATCAGCAATTGTCAAGAAGCCATCAATTTACATGCTATTTAATAAAGCTGAAGACAGAGATACTGTTTTAAGCACTTACAAAGCTGCCACTCACAAGATATCTCCTGTCCCTCAGAGCAATGGTACATCCTAAATTGAATGACCCTGTCTCAGATTAAGATAGATTTTTGCCTGCCAGGCACAAGCCTCCAAAGGCTAGACTCTCATACTCAACAGACAGATGTGGATCATATTGCAGAATTCCACACACAGCACTCAACACCAGCTGTGGTGAATGCAGAGTGTGAATAAAACATTGAGAATATGGAGTCTAAGCATTTCATGCTATTTTTCTAATGGGTGATTACTTCTGTAGAGCCACAACTGAAAATGGAAACCCTCCTCAGCATTGGTATAGCACTAACATGAAACAGGAGTACTATTAAAAACCTCTCATGCTACTGGATTTTTTGCTAGGTGCTGAAAAGTAAAGCATCACTGATACAGCACACGCTAAAGGACATGTAGGATTATTACACATATCCAAGACATCTTTTTAACATTTTGATCTGTAACACAAGTTTATTTTTCCCATTGCATTGCACATAATTACCTGCCAAAATATCAGTGTTCCGTGCAGCTATTGTTTTCACTTTTATTATTCCTGATTCAGCAGCCTGGAAGAGAAGAAAATAAGTAGTTTTGACACTATTTCATACATCAATATCTGTAAAGAAATAATACTGAAGATAAACAAAAACGTATCTTCTCAGAGCAAAAATGTTTTTATAGTGTTTTCAGTAAGCAGAGCTAATGCAGAATTGAAACCTTTGCAGCTTCTGGAATTCCTTTCCTAAATTCCACAGGAAGGGGTATAATCTGTGGTTCAGAATTTCTAGAAACCACGATTCTCATTGTACTACTTTCCAGTCCTATGAATGCAAAGAAAAATCACTAGTAAACAAACAAACAAAAAAAAGTTGCGCAGTCTCTGTACAGTTTCAAACTGTGAAACAATTACCATGATATATAATGTCACATTCACTAGGTTGAAATGCTGAAGAAACTGAGAACTTAGGTAATTATATCAACTTAACTCTTAAGCAATGAAATCCAGTTAATAAGCTGGATGTAGTACACGACACTTGAATATTATCATTATTCTTCTAGTCAGGTAGCACTACTTTCTGTTTGAAAGCCAACACTTTCACTAACAACAAGTATCAGAAGGAAACACATTTTCCCCCAGATTGTGTTTCCCAAATGCCCTATACAAATTATCCCAGGGCAGTACCATGAAGAAGCCTTCCTAACAATAGTCTCCATTCTTCCCAATATGCCATACAACCCACACCAACAGTTCCTCCCCTTTCCCCGTAAGTATGACCTGACAGACCAACAGCCTCCCCCTCTCCCTCATGCTGTGGACCTGCAGGTTGGGGGATGCGTGTGCACAGACTGGCTGGACGCCAACCAAGCGCTGCAGAGCTGAGCAGCCCACGGAGGAGATCACATACTGCTGCGAAGGAACAGCGATTCCCTCTTCAATTGTCCACAAACGCTTCCTAGCACAAATCACTAAAGTCATGTTCTCTAATGAAATCAAGCCAAGCTGAAAATATAAAACTGAGGCTTTTCATTTCAGAATTACAATTTCTGACAAGTTTTGTGTACAAAACACAAAAACACATTGCAAATGTCACATTTCCATTTTTTAATTCCATTAATATGCTCTAAATCTCTGTAAACAATTAAGGAAATCGTGTTCAATACACTGTGCAACAAAATAAATGCATCGGGTTTTCCCAAACCATAGAACACAAATTGCTGGAAAATATTGTCCTGTCAAATTTGAAAGTACATTTACCCTTTTATTTAAGTTTTGTATATCTGTGTACTTTCTCACACTAAACATTTCCATTTTTCCTCTGGTATTACTATGTAAAGAAGCGTGTCACCACTATATAAAACAGATCAGAGAAGCAGACAAGCTGTCGCAGCAGAAACATGAAAGCAACAGTACATGAAGTTCTACCAAGCAGTATTCCTCCTCCATCAAAACACTACTCCAACAAGATTTCCCAGAAAGTCAGCTTAAGATGGCTGTATAAATTCATAATCAAATATTTTAATGAAGAGCTGATATACATATTTCTCAAAAATAGCTAAATTAGAAATGCGGAACTGAAATAATTTTTTTTTTATTTCCCAAAACAACACAGAAAGACTAAACACTGCCTTAAGATTCTTTAAAAGATCTGTGAAATTCTGGAGAATTATTTAAGGTTTGCTGAACTTTTTCTCCTTCAAAAATACAGACAGAATAATATCCACAGTGCCTGAACTGCTCAACAACATGCTCAAATGAGCACGAAGTGACATGCAAATATATCTTTCGCATAATTAAAATGAGGAGTGCCAAATGCAGTTCTCATTTATTTTAATTACATTAACTTAATGTGTTGAAGTGTCTTAAGTTTTAAGTCAATCCCCGTTCTTCTTCAGTTATAAATTGTCAGCTAATTAGGGAGGGTCTTGTCACAACAAATTGTTCCTATTAATTAATATGAAGGATTTGTCACAGTCCAACTTCAATTATCTTCAAACTAAACCTCATCACATATACCAGCAATCGATTTATTTCTTTTCAGGAGTGACAAACTCACTCTGAATCAAAGAAATATTAAGCCTGCCCACACGTGACATTTCACAAACAGTACGGACTCTGCATGAAGAAGGAAAAAATTATTTCCAACAGAAAGTCTCCCAGTTACTTGTTTCCATGTTGGCTTTATATAAAAGAGCACATATTTTTAAAAACTAAGGTAAAACAAAACAAAAGCTATCAGACTTTTTACTGCCGCTCTGAATATAACAGTTTTTCTCCATGAGATATTAAAAGTTCTATGATCAGCTGCATGAACCTATGGTTTCTACTTAGAATCCCAATTCAAAACAATTACATTAAAAACCAATTACACTGCACACATCCTACAAAAACACCGCCAATACTCCACTATATATCTAAAAAGATCACATATTAACATTTACAACAACTTACCTCAGTTGATCACAAATAACCAGTAGAAAAAATGAGACTATAAACAGTTATCTAGCTATTCTGTATACATCAATATAAAAGTGTATCTGGATTGCTTCAATTTAACCAGGCAAACTAAAAGAGATGGGGTGTTGGTTGATGAGAATGCAGAACATGACCCAGCAACATGCGCTTGCAGCCCAGAAAGCCAACCACATCTTGGGCTGCATCAAAAGAAGTGTGACCAGCAGGTCGAGGGAGGTGATTTTCCCCCTCTACTTTGCTCTTGTGAGACCCCACCTGGAGTACTGAGTTCAGCTCTGGAGTCCTCAGCACAGGAAGGACATGGATCTGTTGGAGCGAGTCCAGAGGAGGGCCACAAAGACGATCAGAGGGCTGGAGCACCTCCCATACGAGGACAAGCTGAAAGAGTTGGGGTTGTTCAGCCTGGAGAAGAGAAGGCTCCAGGGAGACCTTCTAGCATCCTTCCAGTACTTAAAGGGGGCTACAGGAGAGATGGGGAGGCACTCTTCATCATGGAGTGTAGCGATAGGACGAGGGGTAGCGGTTTCAAGCTGAAAGAGGGTAGATTTAGATCAGATATTAGGAAGAAATATTTTCCTGTGAGGGTGGTAAGGCACTGGAACAGGTTACCCAGGGAAACTGTGAATGCCCTATCCCTGGAGGTGTTCAAGGCCAGGCTGGATGAGGCTTTGAGCAACCTGGTCTAGTGGAGGGTGTCCCTGCCCAGGGCAGGGGGGTTGGAACCAGATAATCTCTAAGGTCCCTTCCAAACCTAACCATTCGATTATTCTATATGAATAGATTTGAAGTTTACGAATTTTACATCAATTACTATAGCACACTTCAGGACATTGCCCCATTAGAGAAGGATCTTATAAAACTAATCAAGGAGACGGCCAGCATCATACTGTGTATTTATGGGTACAAATATGATAATTTACTTTCACACAAACATAAGGCATGATGTTTTTAAAGCAGTCACCACTTTTAAAAGTAACATTACCAGGTTCCCTTAGCACCACAGTTAACAGCAGTCTAACGAGCAAGTTAGTTATCTCTTTAATTTTAAGAAGCAGCAAATACACATAATTACTGTAACATAAAGCTCAAGTGTACCTGAAACCTTCAGTCAATTAGAGCTCCTATTCTGCTATTTTAACAACTGTGAAATGAACTGAAATAAAGTGTCTCAAACACACACTTGCCATTATTGAGTTTTGCTTCATATTTCTCCTGAAGCAACTACAGCACTCAGTCTGGGGAGGGGAAATAATGATGAAGAACAGAAATGGACTCTCAGTAACAGCACATATCCAAGTCAATCTCTTCCAGTACTTTGATTTGGTTTTAATCAAACAATTAACCTCACAGCAAAATTCAACAGGACCCTCCAAGCTCAAGCACTTGCCCCATCATCTTTGTGCTTCCCTGGAACTTACCGAGTATTTGCTGATTATGTGGAAATCACCCTTCACAGAAATCAAAGTAAGGCAAATGGAGAATTTACGTAAAAAAAAAAAACAAAAACAAAAAAACACGAAGACACGCATAACACAGTTTCAAGGAGACTGAAAAGAAACCTGTGCATAACATCTACCTCCTGGCCTCAAAGTTCCTCTCCCCAGGTACAGTCTGACAACAACATTCACAGCTCCCCAAGAACCTCACCCTAAAGCTAGCTTATAGACAGAGGCTCTCTGCACAAGAGAGACCAGGATGTGGAAATTCTTAGAGACTTTCAAACCCAGCTTTAAGAGTTTTTCAGATTGAAAACTCTTCCCCTCCTCACAGATTCCTCAGTCCAAACAGGGAAGAACTTGAGTCTTCCTGTCATGAGATGCGCTGTGCCCATTTTGCAAATGTTTTTGGAATTGCTGCTGTTCAGGATCACGTAAAGGCAAGCCACCCATACCAGCAGCAGAGTGGCAAGGGCATCTGAAAGGCACCAGTTCCTCAAATCTGTCTTCCAGGGACACTGTGGAAGCTCTCAAACCCAACTGCAGCAGACAGTCTATTTTACTGAAGGATACCACTATAACTAACTCCATGATCATCATCATGTTACCTGGCAGCCCAAGAATGGCCACAAGGAGTAATGGCGTAGTGTATGCTTGAAAACGTAACTGTATTTAGCAGTTCACTTCTCACAGGCAAAGACACCATGAACCTCTATTGCAATGCATATGGGCGGGCAAGCAAAGTACCAGAGGGGTCAACTGGGATATGGTCCAACAGCACATCAGTTCCTCCAAGGTAATCCCTACGAATTTGTCCTTACTCTGGGGTAAAGTCAATGAGCTACCCTTCTTTCACTGAAAAATAACAACACAGTGAACAGCTTTTCATAATGGAAAGACGACAAAAATCTAATATCGAATGTCTCTCTTACCAGTGACTCTTTTCAGAAAGTGAAATAAACACCCACTGTCTCTACAGTATCAGCAATTTTTTAAAAGTTTCAATAAAGGGTTTTTTAAAAGGTTTTAAAAATATCAAGTTGCTGTTCTTCAAAGAAACTGGTACCTCACAATTATTTTTTTTAACCAAAAATTAAACACATACACATAAAGATATTTAATGTAGCAACTAGGCATGTGCTAATTTCTACTAAGGATTGATCTAATGCTAAATACATTTCTGTATGAAGTTCTAAATGTGATAATGTTGCTACCAAAAGTTAATGAAAGAATTTCCACCTTTTGCTAAGATTGGATGAAAGTAGTATGTGTCATCTATGGTCACTTCCACATCTACTACCTGAAATTAAAAAAAAGCAATTGTTTCTATGCATCATTACCTCCCTTTCCAGCTGGAACACTAACCCTACATCCAATAGTCAGACAAGAGATCCTCCTGTCTAAAGTAGTTTCACTCCATTGTTATTCTGACTTGCTCTGCAAAAATACATTCTGGACCATTACTGTACTGCTAAACTATTATTTGGAAAAGGACACACTCATAAAAAGCTCCACACTAAACCAACCTCATGAAAGCACTCGAGTATACCACATTTGTGTGAAAAAGCACTGCACTTGCTTTCTGTGTTCTTCTCTTCCTCCCCAGGAGTACAATCCCTACTCTGACCCTTCTCTTTTATATATGCTCATAAACCTGTGATTTAAACTGGTGTAATGCCAGTTCTGGTCTGACAGCACTGTGCAATCACTGGGATTTATTACATTGAATGATTTAATATATTTGGATTAGAGCTTGCTCACATGCTACTGGCTTGGAGCAAAGCCTAGCTGCAGAGACTCTGGGAATGGAGCACCACCCACTATAAAGGCAGATAAAGGCAGAGACTACATGAACCAAGTACTTATGTCTTAGTGGACACATATAAACCTATGCACCCAAGGGCCAATGTCACTGAAAGGACACCCTCTATCAGGGTCATGGTGACTGCGGAGAGGTAAGCGCCACACCCATCTCAAGGGAAGCCACAGAAGAATATTCAGGGCATCACAAGCCTATCAGTGTCATGTCACTCCCTGGGAAGTTTATGGAACAAATACTCCTGGAAG